TCTTGGAAAAGAAGGCAAAACTGGTGAATCCCAATCTCCAACAGTCACTGGCCCCTCAGAAATTTAATTTAAATATGAATTAGGCACCCCCATCCTCCTGAGAGCTGCTCAGCTTTGGGTGCAAGGTCTGCCTGGCAGAGGTGCCCCAGCCCCACAGGCTCCCCAGCCATTCCCACCTGAGATCTGGCTGTTCCCAGGACCTTGGGTTTCCATGGGATCCATGGGATGCACAGCTCGGGCAGGATGCCCAGAGCTCTCAGGGTAAATCCTGGGTGCTGACCTTAATGCTGAGATTTTGGTTTGAGCCCCTGGAGGCTGAGGAAGCCCAGGCAGGGCTCTGGGCCCAAACTGTGAGCACACCATCCCAAACTCCTCGAGAACCACACACTGCTGAAAAGATCTCGTGCTTCTTTAAAAGCCATGACAGCCTCCAAAGCCCAATTTGCTGCGCTGGCACAACGCACAGGTACTATAAAGGTACTCTCACTCACACTTGGCTTCATTACCCGGGAGCTTTGAGGAAAACAAAACACACAATAAAAACCTTTACTCGCTAGAAAAACACTTTTGATCATCTTCAGCCGTGCACGTTCTGATCTCCAAGGGGGGATATGAGTTCCAAAGTGCAGGCGGGGTCTGCTGGCCCTGCCTGGGGCAGCTCCAGCTCGGGAAAAGGGCGATTCCTGCTTTTCCCAATGCCTCCTGCTGCCGTGCCCAGGTGGGCTCTCCCTGCCCTCCCCACATCCCCCTCCACCTGGCAGGAAGGGGGAGCAGCCCCCGAAACAGCTGGAGGGGGGCTCTGTTTCCCCTGGGTACCAGCCCTGCTCAGGCAGGGAGGGAGGGGACACGGGAGGTGACAGGGCTGGCCCTGCTGGCTCCCCTGCATTTGTCACCTCTCTTAAACCACTCCTCTTCCGAAATTGCCCCTTGTGCCGTCAGTGAGACAGATGAGCAGGAGAACAGGGTGAGGGGGCACGGGGTGATGGAGCACATGGTGATGGAGAACAGGGTGATGGGGCACAGGGTGATGGGGCACAGGGTGATGGGGCACAGCGTGATCCCTCTCCTGGGGAGACCACAGCAAAGCCTGGTTCTGGTTCTGAACACCCAGCCTGCTTCCTGAACTCCTACCAGTGCACAACGCAGCAATTTATTCTTTTAATAAAACCACGGCTTCAGAACTCGCTCTCCTTCCTCGTGTGTTCTCATAAAATCTTAACCAGCTGCCTGGGAAGAATGCAGAAAGGATGCAGGATGGAATTCTACTGCTGAAAATCAGCGCCTTCCCAGAATTGTTCTGCCATGCAAAACAACTGTGTTGCTGACAGAATTTCTCCTAACTCCAACAGACAAAAACAGTTGGGGCTGCGGGGATCCATCACCCATTGGAACCAAACAAAGGGGAGCAGCTTTAATTACTGAGGCTGCAGAAATAACTCATCACAGCACAGCTCCTCAGCTAAGGAGGGGTTTCCTTTAAAATCCTGTGCTGAGGGGCTTCTGCACCAAAACAGGTGCCCAGTGACAGCCTGGGCAAACCTTCTCTTCTGTCAGAGCCTGGGGAAGGGACACGTGGGCACTGTGACTGCTGCTGCTGGAGTGCTGGCCTGGGAGGCCAGGGAGAGTCCCAGTATCCCTGTGCCACCTGGGGACAGTCCCAGTATCCTGTGTCACCTGGGCACCACAGGACAATCCCAGCACCCTGTGTCACCTGGGGACAATCCCAGTATCCCTGTGCCACCTGGGCACCACAGGACAATCCCAGCACCCTGTGTCACCTGGGGACAATCCCAGTATCCCTGTGCCACCTGGGCACCACAGGACAATCCCAGCACCCTCTGCCACCTGGGGACAATCCCAGCACCCTGTGCCACCTGGGCACCTGGGGACAATCCCAGCACCCTGTGCCACCTGGGGACAGTCCCAGCACCCTGTGCCACCTGGGCACCTGGGGACAATCCCAGCACCCTGTGCCACCTGTGCCACTTGAGGACAATCCCAGTATCCCTGTGCCACCTGGGGACAGTCCCTGTGCCACCTGGGCACCATCCGGCCCCCCCACAGCCTGACACAGGGTGGGGAGGGCACCACCCCCGGGGCCATGGGTGAGGGCTGGGGTCTGGCTGGGCAGCAGCAGCAGCAGCCAGGGAGCCACGCTCCAGGAGCACGGGGACAGGGAGGGAATGATCCTCACGAAAACCCTGTGTGCTCGATGCAAAATGGAATGATTACTCTGAGATATGAATTAGCCATCTAAAATGAGGGAGCTGAACTTTTTTACAGTGTTAGCACACAGAGGCTTCTCCTGGAGAGCCCAGCAGCCCAGGGAGCCTTTACTCCCCATCTTCGGGCAGAAAATGGAACCCCGGTGTGAGAGCTGGGGCCGGGACCAGCTCAGCCTGGCCTGGGCCCATCCCGAGGGGCTCTGTGCCTTCTCCCCTGGCACATCGGCACCGAACGAGACTCTGGGGTGGAAGTTTGTCCCTGTGCTCCCACCCTCGGGGCACGGGCAGATGTGCCCAGCTGCAGCCGGAGCCCCGGGCCGTGTGTCCCAGCGAGGGCAGCCCCAGGCCCGGCTCGGCCCGGCTCCGGCCCAGCCCGGAGATGACCCTCGGGCTGGAAATGCCGCCTCGGAGCCGGGGAGTGCCGCCCGTGTCCCCGCGGGAGCTCAGAGCGGGAGCTGCGGCCCTCGCACCCACGGACGGGTGGTGAATTTTAGGGTAAATGTGGTGGATGTGGCACAGGGAGGCTGAGCCCCGAGCAGGGAGGGGGAACCAGCCCGTGCTGGCCCGGGGAGTCCCGGCCATGCTGCCGGGACCCCGAACGGCGGAGCGGGCACGGCTGGGCTCGGGCAGCTCCGAGCTGCGGGAGCGAACTCTCCTGCAGCCCCGAACGGCATCTCCTGCCCCCGAATGGTTCCTGCAGCCCCGAACGGCATCTCCAGCCCCCGAATGGTTCCTGCAGCCCCGAACGGCATCTCCAGCCCTGGAGCTCAAACAAGAGCCGGTTCCCGATACTCCAGCAGCTAGGGCAACCACTGTAATGTGCTTTGGGGTACGTTCACAGACCGCAGCCAGGGACACCCAGAGGAGAAGAGGGCAGGAGAGCCTGGGTGCTGCTCACGCTGCCATCCCGCATTTCCCCTCTCAAAGCAGAATAACCCCGATCAAAGCGAGCCTGCCGAGGGCACGGGAGCGAGAGGAGATGGTCAGGGGGCACAGGGAAGGAGAGGAGATGGTCAGGGGGCACGGGAAGGAGAGGAGATGGTCAGGGGGCAAAGGGAATGGGAGGAGATGCCCAGAGGGCACGGGGAGCAGACCCAGCTGCAGCACAGAATTCCAGCGTCCCACCGCCCCGCAGCACAGACATTCCAGCGTCCCACCGAAGCACGGACATTCCCGCATCCCATTACAGCACGGATATTCCCCCATCCCACCGAATCGCAGACATTCCCCCATCCCATTACAGCACAGACATTCCCCCATCCCACGGAAGCACGGACATTCCCCCATCCCACGGAAGCACGGACATTCCCCCACCCCACCGAAGCACGGACATTCCCGCATCCCAGCGCCCCGCTCGGGGCTCGGCAGCGCTGCCGGCGCTCCCGCAGCAGCCTCGGCAGGAACGCAGCCCGGCCCTCCCCGGGGATGCTCCAGCCCCAGCTCCGTCCCGTTTATGTAACCCCAGCGAGCTGCGGACAGGCCTGGCAGCCGGGATGGGCTCCAGCCCAGCCCGCCTTGGAGCAATCGCAGCCGTCCCTAAAAAGGCACTTTGGAACGGATCTGGGTACTAACAGTGTTTAATGGTGCCTGAGTGTGCCTCGACAGCCTGAGAACCCACCGAGTTACCTTCCCTGCAACGGTACAAATAAACCGCTTTTTAATTATTATTTCCTCTGATTCTCCATTTGTGCCACGGAAAGCACGAGGACCTGAGCACGTCTCAAAATACAGAGGATAATTGAGGTACACATAAAAACCACTTGTCAGCTGCCCTACATAGACATCTACTGTATTTTCAGGAGCTACTACAACAGGAGCAGCCTAAAAACGCTTCCAAATCCCTACCGAAAATGCCTCACGCAGCATTTTACAGCAGACTCCTGGACCACTAAAAATGCTTATGGATAAAATGCATTGCAACCTGGAGATTTCCGTGGCAGCCCAGCAAAAAACAATACGGCCAGAGACTTCATAGCTGAGAAGTGCTGCTAATTAAATCAGATTTCTCACCAGCCAGGAGCTTCAACCGTATTCCAGAGAGGGAGAAAATGGGGGTTTGAACCGTAGTAGATCAAGGCAAAGTACAACACACGGATAAAAAGTTGGAGTGGGGGCTGGGGGTAATTAAATCAGGGCAGAGGATTGTTGAACACAAACCAGGAGGAAAGGTTCGAGTGGATTGTGGTGTCTGAGTGCCGGTAAACAAATGTTGCTCCAGTCAAGAGACAGGAGATCCGGGAGCGCGGGGTCCATTAGGAGAGGCAGGAACGGAGCCACGGCAAGCACAAAACCTCCTCGTGGCACGGAGCCAGCGCTCCGATCGTTGGGAAATATAGAACTGTGTATCAAAATAAATAATGCCGATGGTAATGCTCCTGGCAGGGCTTAATCGTCCTCTCCGTGCCACAGCCCCGCGCTGCTCGCTCTGCAGAGCCCCGGAAGCCAAAACTGCATCATTTCACCCCAACAGCCCATTCCTAAACTTCCAGCAACAGCCAGGGCTTCTCAATAGAGTGGAAAAGGGCAAAGCGCGGAACGAACCGCGCCGGGAGCCGGCGGGCGGCCCGGGGCTCAGGGCTGCGGGTACCGGCCGGCTCTGGGGACGAGTTCCTGCATTCCGGGGCACCCCCGGGCCGCAGCATCCCCGCCAGGCAGGGGCTCGGCCGGAGCCTCCCCGGGCAGCCCGGGATGGACGGATGGATGGATGGATGGATGGATGGATGGATGGATGGACGCTGCGGCAGCGCATCCCGCCCGCCCGCGGCCGCCTCCTACCTCAGCACGGCCGTGTCCCCTTTCCTGACCACCAGGTTGTCCACGGCAGAGCCCGGGAAGTCTCCGCCCGGCGCGGCCAATCTCCCGGGAGGCAGGAACCAGCAGAGGCCGAGCAGCGCGATGGCCAGCCACCGGCGGGAGCCCCGCGGCGGCGGCAGCATCTCCGCTCCGCGCCGGCCCCGGGGAGCGGGCGAGCGCTGCTGCTGCTGCTGCTGCCGGCGAGGGCGGCCCGGGCTGCGCTGGCGGCGGGCGGCGGAGCGCGGCTGCTCCCGGGCGGCCGCCGCAGCATCCAGCGCGGGCGGAGGGCAGCGCGCCCGCTCCGCTCGGCTCGGCTCGGCTCGGTACGGCACGACTCGGCTCCGCTCGGCACGGCGCGGCTCGGCTCCGCTCCGCTCGGCTCCGCTCGGCACGGCTCGGCTCCGCTCGGCTCGGCACGGCACGGCTCCGCTCGGTTCGGCTCGGCTCGGCTCCGCTCGGCACGGCTCGGCTCCGCTCCGCTCGGCGGCGGGCGGTCCCCGCTGCCAGCCCGTTGCCACGCAGCCGTCGCCTTGGCAACCGGCCCGGCGGCAGAGGATGCTCGGCCCTCTTTGCCGGGCTCCCCGCTCCGCCCTCCCCGCGGCCCCAGCCCCCCGCGATCCGCCCCCCCGGAGCACGCAGTGAAAACCGGCCGCCTTGCCAGGAGCCGGAGCGCCCGCGGCAGCGCCGGGAACGGCACCGGCGGCTCCGGCCAGCGGCCCCCGGGACACGCTGGAAGCTCCAGACCTTTCTGGAACGGAGGGCTGCCCACTCTGGTACTTTCACTTCCTAATATTCTACCTAGAAAAAAAGATTCTGGGCTACAGACCTTCTCCAAAGAGCAAATAAACCACTGGCAGGTTATTTCCCCAAATTCTACCAGGAAAGCCAGAGACCTTTACCAAGGAGAAAGAAAAATCACCAGCAGATTATTTCCTAGAATTGACCTAAGACATTCAGAGATCTTCACCAAGGAGCTAAAAACCCACTGCTCTGTTATTTCCCACAATTCTACCAGACCTTTGCCAAGGACCTAAAATCCACTGAAAGATTCTTCCAGGATGTTGAGAAGCCTTTGCCAAGGAGCAAAAATCCGTTGACAGATTATTTCCCAAAATTCCACCGGGACAGCCAGAGACCTTCACACCAAGGAGGGACAAACCACCCACATTTCTGCCCAGGATTCCAGCAGGGAGGGCATCTGGAGACCCTGCCTGACAGATTCCACCAGGCCATGAGGAGCCTTTCCCCAAGGAACATAAATCCACCGACAGATTATTTCTAAAATTCTACCGGGACACCTCGAGCCCTTCAAAAAAGCACAAAACCCCCTGGCAGCCGCACTCGCTGCAGACAGCCAGGAATGAGCGGCCTCTTTTCCCCTGGGGTCCTCCCCAGCACACACAGAGCCCTGGCAGGCTGTGCAGGCACGCAGAGCAGGGGGTTCTGTTCTGTTTGCTGCCCTTGTTCACCCTCTGTCCCCTTTTCCAGGTAAACATTCCAGGCTGGGCACTGCCCTGTTCAGCACCCACACCAGACCCGGGGGGGCACCCTGCCTGCTCAGCCCGGTCCCTGCAGGAACTCCTCTCTCTGAGGCTCCAGAGGGGTTGCACAAGGGCTGCTGTGGAACAGGAATTGCAGGAACGCTGCACTGGGGCTGTTCCAGAGTGATTCAGGCGCATCTGGCCCACACAATGTCCCAGTTGTGCCACTGTCCCTGCCCATCTCCCTCTCATGCCCTGCCAGGGCGTGCGTGGCCCTGCGTGCCCTCCTCCCCTGCCCACGGTTTGCATCAGGACTGGGGAGCAGAACGTTCCAGTTAGAGCAGGTCTGTAACAATCAGGCTGCCTCTTTCGGGAAGCCCCATCCCCGTTCCTGGAAGCTGCTCCCTCCATTACCACATCCCATTAGATGCTCCCAGCTGCCAGGAGAAACCCGAGCGTGCACAAAAGGGAATTCTTCCCTTTCTCCTGCAGCAGCGAGGCTGCAGAGTCTCCTTGGTGAGGCAGGAGAGGGGGAGAGCGGGGCTGGCTCCCCGGGGTGGCAGGGAGGGCACAGAGCTCCTTTGAGAGCAGACACAAGTGCCCAGTGACACTCCCGTGCCACAGCCTGCAGTGCCCAGCCCGCAGAGCATGGCACAGGAGCTGCTCGCTGGCACCATGGAGCACTAAGTGCCAAAATATCGCTGGGAAAGCTGCACGCATTTGGAACTGACACACAGGATATCAGTGGCCTCACCCTCACTGAGGTGTTCACAGAGGGGGAGCTGTCCCACCCCTCAGCCTGCACCACCACCCACCCACTCAGAGATTCACAATCACTCCCCAGGGCCTCTCCAGGGAACAACCAAACACACCCCACAGCATGCAGCTGGAAAGGGAAGGGTCCTGAAGGGCTTCAGGAACCCAGACAAGGGCTGTGACAAGGCAAGGGGAGCAGCAAAACCCCACAGCTGCTCCTCAGGGCTTTCTGCTCTTCCTTCCATCCCACCGTGGGATGCACCCAACGAGATAATTCCATTTACACAACAACTCCTTAACAAAAAGGGGTGCATCCCATGAGAGCTCTGATCCCTCAGAATGGATTCTGGTCTCTCAGAGCAGAAATCCTGAGTGGAACATGGTTCCTCCTCCACCAGACCTGCACACTGGAACAGCTCATCACACACCTGCCGAGCGCATCCACTTCTTTACCAAGGCTTGTGCTCGTCAGTGCTCTTGCACAGACGTTGGGGGAACACCACCCTGATCTCTGGGCAAATCCCACCCAGAGCAAACCCCAAATCCCTGCAGACCCCATCCAGAGCATGGATTTGGGGCCTGGATGTGACAAGCTTCACACAGCTGTCACGTGTGAGGAGCCCTTTGGGTGTTCTGGTTCGCCCAGTGCTCAGACCATCCAGGGTGTAACATGCACATCTCGTTTCAGGGAGAGCTCTGAGCCTTTAATGAGTCCAGTGATGTTCCTCTCGCTTGACCTTAGCGAACAATCAAATCATTTGCTCCTCTTTGAATGAGCAGGACAAAAGGCATCTCTCCCCAGCACCATTTAATCACCTTGCAAAAGATCCTATAAATCTCAATCAACGGTAGCAAAGATGAAGCTTTTTGTTTTGTTTCGTTCATTTTTAGATTCCTATCTTGCCTTTAATGTTATTTGTAGATCAATGGGAAAACGAGCAGGTCAGGGGCCAGAGCAGTTGTGCCCGTCAGGGCTGGTCTGGAGACTGAATTCTTTCATCTGAACCTGCCCCACCTCCTCCCCAAGCCCGGGGAGAATTGTAATGGGGGGGAGAAATAAAGAATAAAAGAGGGAAAATCTGCCACCAGATGTGTGCACACATAGAAAAAGGGTTTCACAGAATGCCTGAGGTTGGAACAGCCCTCCCAGCCCATTGAGCCCAGTGTCCCCCAGCAGTGCCAGCACAGGGGACAGTGCCCAGTGCTGCTGCCCCATGCCAGGCTGTCCCTGCCCTTTGCACAGGGCACGGGGCTGGCAAGTGAGCACTCCCGTGGGCAGGCAGGCACCTCCAGCTCCCCTGACTGCGTTTGGCTGCTTTAGCACCAGGCCCCCCAACCCAGCCCTGCTAACGCCATATGATAATTCCCTGTAATTCAGCTGCATGTTTTTGTTTAGAACCATTTCAAAAAGCTAAATTTAGTTGTTGTTTGCAAGTATTCGTTCAACAGTTTGCACAAATACTCAAGACTGATTCCCAGACTTCACACTTGGCTTTTTGCTTCGTTTCCTTCTGTGTGTTTAACTCTCCTGCACCCGTTCCCTCCCGCTGGCGACACAAGATGGGAGTTGGATGACTAAAATAAACTCCAGGAGAATGAGTGCTTTGGGTCTGTGTCCCACAGCCAGCACGGCACAGGGGAACAGGGCACAGCAACAGAGGCAGCGTGCCCCTGCGCTGGCACCTGCCTGGGGGCAGAGCACTGGTCACAGTGTCCATCCCTCCAGGACAGTGTCCATCCCACTGGTACAGTGTCCATCCCACTGGGACAGTGTCCATCCCACTGGTACAGTGTCCATCTTGCCAGGACAGTGTCCATCCCTCCAGGACAGTGTCCATCCTGCCAGGACACAGCACCAAGCACTGGGACAGTGTCCATCCTGCCAGGACAGTGTCCATCCCTCCAGGACAGTGTCCATCCGGCCAGGACACAGCACCAAGCACTGGGACAGTGTCCATCCTGCCAGGACAGTGTCCATCCCTCCAGGACAGTGTCCATCCCTCCAGGACAGTGTCCATCCGGCCAGGACACAGCACCAAGCACTGGGACAGTGTCCATCCTGCCAGGACAGTGTCCATCCCACTGGGACAGTGTCCATCCCTCCAGGACAGTGTCCATCTCGCTGGGACAGTGTCCATCCCTCCAGGACAGTGTCCATCTTGCCAGGACAGTGTCCATCCCTCCAGGACAGTGTCCATCCTGCCAGGACACAGCACCAAGCACTGGGACAGTGTCCATCCCGCCAGGACAGTGTCCATCCTGCCAGGACACAGCACCAAGCACTGGGACAGTGTCCATCCCGCCAGGACAGTGTCCATCCCGCCAGGACAGTGTCCATCCCACCAGGACTGTGTCCATCCCACCAGGACACAGCACCAAGCACTGGGACAGTGTCCATCCTGCCAGGACAGTGTCCATCCCTCCAGGACAGTGTCCATCCTGCCAGGACATAGCATCGAGTACTGGGACAGTGTCCATCCCTCCAGGACAGTGTCCATCCTGCCAGGACATAGCACCGAGTACTGGGACAGTGTCCATCCCGCCAGGACAGTGTCCATCCCGCCAGGACACAGCTGTGGCTGCCCCTGGATCCCTGGCAGTGCCCAAGGCCAGGTTGGACACTGGGGCTGGGAGCAGCCTGGGACAGTGGGAGGTGTCCCTGCCACATGGGACACCTGTCCCTGCCTGGGCTTTGAGGTCCCAGATGAGGTGACAGGAATGGGAGGGGACACAGCAACAACAACAACCACCAAACAAACAAACAAATCCAAAAAACCACCCACACTACACAGAATTTGAAGAGTTGTGGCTTACGTCCAAATTCGCAGAAACTTTGGGAGGTTTAAATGTTTCCACAATGACCAAAGAGCAGTAGAATCGTAGAGGAAATCAATAAAGTGCTCCTGGAGGTGAAACTAGTTTTTAAATATTATTTTAATATCTTTGAGG